GCTGGTAGGGTCCTGAAGAGGCCCCAAAGGCTTTACTAAGGTTTTGTCCTGCCCTCTTCCCATTTCGGTATTCTCATCAGTCCTCATTGAGTTTAAAATCTAAAGCTCGGAGAACCGTGCTTTCATTTAAGTTACGGAGTTGAAGAGTTGCCGATTTACAACTTATTTCAGTTTACTTAAAATTTACATATTTCTTGTGATTACTGTTCCTCGCATTGTTGCGGTCAAACAGCGAAGAGTGTGTGACAGAGAGCACCTTCCTTCTTCACCATGGAGATACCTCTACTTCCAGATATGCTATTCATGTTGAAAAACCTCAGATGCTTAAATCCAAGGTAAGCTACCTTGCATAGCAGTGATATTACATCCAAGCAGGGTCAAGGTGGTGAACAGGATAGATACAAAGGGTTGTTACAGTGACTGACAAAAAGATTGGAAGAAACAAATTTTCTCTAACCATCCCTACTTCGTCTAGTGATCATTTGAAATAGAAAAAACAGATTTCGTATTTTACTGCAACCTACTGCATTCTTGCCATAAACGTGACAGTCAAAAGACTTTCTTTCACCTTTTCTTCCTGAAAAGAGCAAAATCTTTCCATCCGGAATAAGCTATGATTAACTTCATTTTTATTTGTTCCTGTGTTGGGTATTTTGCTGCTGTCAAAAGAGAATGTTTTACACCGCTCTATGTAAGCGACTTTCATAACTACCGGTATGAACTAGGCTGTGGCGTAACTCCAGTTAAAACAAACACACGTCTGTGTTCCCAGCAAAATGTGCACATTCCTCTGGGAAGAGAATCTGTTACAGCAAAATCGCACGGTACAAATTTCTTTTACAATGGACAGGTTTTGTGACTTTGTTCCCTTGAAAAGCATTGTTAGCAACCCATTTTTAAGAGGATGAATTTTGTGCCCCCCATTTTTTTTTTAAATTTTAACTCCCCCAGAGTTAGGTCATGTAGTTTCTTAGAGATGTGTGGGTTGCTTGGCAGCAGGTGTTGGCAGGTTGGTAGCAGAACTTGCAACCAACCACAAGGGTCCTTGAGGAGAAGCAGATAAATTCAGTGGCCAGTGACCCTCCACTCCACTTGGCTACTGGACTCCACAGAGACTGTTCTGTTGTCTCTGTGATCTCTCCTTGCATTGAACCTGCCACAATTACATACATGTATTTGTCCTGCTCTAGGCAAAGACACCACTAGTACTGAGGCACTAGGGTAACATCAGTGAGCCTATTGAGCTGCATATACTGCTGGACAGTGAGTGACTTGGAGTGGAGTCACATGAATTCTCTTCCCCACACCAGAAAATACTCAAGCCGGGGAAGGAGAGACTGTGGAATCGAGCCCTGCACACCATCCGCAGGTAGCCAATGTTCCTCAGAATTCATTCAAGCCCCCTTGAACTGCAAGTCCTTTAACTGCAAGCTCCCCAGCTTATTGCCAAGTGAAGCCAAGACAAGTCATCCCTAATTCCAACACATCTTCAAGCTACGCCCTTTATTTATTTTTGTTGTTAATTAATAACTATCTTCTGTGAGTAGAATCCCTGGGTTTTTCCCGTTATTTTTATACATATATATTCTTTAAAGTGAGGATATTTGTATTTTCGTACAGCATGTGAAAACTTTTCGCTATCTCAGCCGGAAACGCACTAATCTCCACTGGTTGGCTGACAATAAAATGGTGTAAACTAGTGAAAAAATAAATCATGTAAGCAGGTGTCATGATTATCAAATTATGCCCGCTACACATTTATAACAAGTGTTTACAGATCCTGGAGCACACAATTGAAAGCTGACGTTATCGGTCATCTTTATCTAAATGCACTGCACTGATCACGCATTCCTGTCATCCGTGCCAAATGCGCATTGCCAAAGAGAAATCATGCAAGAAAAACAATCGTCTTTTTTAAAAGTGGGTTTTAAACTCCTGAAAAAAAACAACAAATCATTAATACTGAGCACCTGTCCCATTCAGACAATTTGAAGAAGAAATACCATAAACACAAACCAACCACACCACCATATCCCTGTTCTTATTTGATAAAAAAGAAAAAAATTGACATTTCCTTGGTATTCTCTTCAGAAGAAAAATGAATTGATCTCCCAACCCAAAACTCAAACAAATGGTCAAAACCGTATTTAATTCCTGCTTTAGGAGCCCACTCAGAATCGATTGCCTAACATTAGATTGCAACTCGGGATTTTGATAAGAGAATTGGCGTGCCTGCCAATGAGCTTTTGCACATGTATGACCTATATTTTGGTTGACGTAACTGTCCAGTCTTACAGTACAGTTTTGACATCACACTTCTTCAGCAAAATTCTCATGTGGGTTGTTTAATGTAAGCAAAAGCAGTATTTTAATTATTCAAAGGTTTAATGAGAATTTCTTGTTTTTTGGTATTATTAATTCATCTTCCTTGTCTTTTTGCAGGTAGGTAGTGTGACAGAGCAAGATCCTTCATTATCGTGCAGACAGCTCTACTTCATTATCATGGAGACAGCTTGGCTTCCAGAGATTTCCCCTTAGGTCTTAGTCTCCAATAGAAAGGTAAATGATGTTGTCATACTCTGAGTGTACAGTGTTGTATTACACGTCGTGCAGGGCAAAAAAAACCCAAATTAATTAACATCTCCGCGGCGCAAATCCAGCCTTGGCAAAGTATCCTTGTTTATCAGTCAATCTTGCCTCAGGTTTTACCTGAAGTTTTGATTTTTCGAAGGAATCTTATCCTATATTTTTCTGTTAAATATCTTCTAACACTTGCAAATATTATCTATATCTATTGTAAGCCTCCGACATTCCTTGCTCGTAGAGAATAGAAATACTGCATGGTGACCGAAGGTTACCCCTACCTGTTGATGGCTGAGGAAGACCTCCACCAGAGCATGGTGGGTGGAGGTGACCTCCACCAGTGCATGGTGGCTCATGGTGGCCCCTATCAGTGCATGGTGGCTGAGGTTGACCCTTACCAGTGCATTGTGGCCGAGGGAGACTCC